AATGTATCACTAGATAATATTCAAATAATGTATCAAGAGATAATGACACTAGTACAAATCGTGCAGTAGAAGAATGCCACGTAAGAAAGATATTGCCCAGAAAATCACAATGCGGTCTGATGTAAGTATTGTGGAAAAACCTACATGGGGGGTGCGATCACAAGGTTTAAAAATTACTTAGCTGGTGGTGATGGAGATGTTGAGATGTGTACATAACAAGGCAAAGATGTTAGAGACCTGTTTAGGGGTTTGGCTGATAACACACAAAATAGGAAGAACGCAAAAGTGGTTGCAAAGAAAGAATTTCACGAACTTTTCTTACAAGTCCCAGATTCGGAAGAAGAATGTGACGACGAAAAACAAGAGCACTATGATATGCAACAAATGATGAGGAACTCGGTCGCTGAGCAATGGGAAGACGACCAACGTCAGAGGCTCTCCCGAAGTCGATCTACGTTTAAGGGTTCCCAACGGAAGGTTGGTTCAGGGTCTAGAATTGAAACTCAAAGATAACCCGGGTATTCCATTAGGGAAGCATGAGAGGGTGTTGTGATTCAAGCACCATTAATATTGACACTGTTCGGTTTCCTGACACTCGACAACCCAAAATAAAAAACAATCTTGACAAACAGAGGAATAAAAGTTGAGGGGCTACGTTTAGAAACTTGTTTACAAAGATGATCTACTACAAAGGGATATATGCAAACCAGATAGTAGGTAACAACCCGTACACCCAACCGATGATTGATGTCGCTTGCAGGGCTGATGTTGGACTGAAGATTCCATCGAGATATGAGTTTATGGTTCCTGAGCTAGATGCCATTGTTGAAGAGTGATAAATTCATCGACGATTTGAGGCAAAAGTGGGCATGTATGGCCTCACCATTATGTGCGATGGTTGGATTGGGCCAACCAAGCAATCGCTGATGAATTTCATGTTTTATTGCGACATCGACACTATTTTTCACCTCTTAATCAACGTGTCCATTATGGGGCATGGTATAAAGTGTAAAAGTATAAAGCATAGTTGAAAAAATTTTAATGGATTTTTTGAGAGTTTTTTACTAATAATTTTAATGGATTTTAGTGTTATATTTAAAAGGATGTACAACCTTTCATTTTTGTGTATATAAACTGTAGGAAGTAAAGGGTATTGTAGGCTTTTAGTGTGTGGTTTAGTCCCACATAGCTTAGATATAAGTTCTATATGGTCTCACTCTCTATATATAGAGAGATAGTTTCTTTGTATCTTTAACCTAATATTATCAATATTATCATTCATCATTTATATTTCTAGTTGGTATCAAAGCCCTAGGTTAGGTCTTTTTCGGCCACCGGTGATGCTAACTCCGGCGTTGGTGGCCGGATTTCCTTCAAAGGTCAATTTTTTCTTCTTCTTTTGTTGTTTCCGATGTTTTTTTTGCGTCCAGTGCTGTTGTTTTGTTTTTCTTCTGTTGTTTTTTTTTCACGGAGTACTGTTCATCGTTATTGTTCACGAGTACTGTTCATCATTCATCGTTACTGTTCACGAGTACCGTTCATCATTACTGTTCACGAGTACTGTTCATCGGGGTACTATTCACGATTCACTGTTCATCGGGGTTTTTTCAGGTTTGCTGTTTGTGTTAATGGTATGCATCATTCTATTCCAATTCTTTTTAGGATTTTGTCAGCGTTGTTGATGTCAGCTTGTCAAGCGCTCTTGTCCAGCCTTTTCTAATTAAGGCCAGCCCTTTCTAGGGTCTCAATGCGTTGTTGATGTCATGCGCCATTCTTTATAAGGTTTTATCTGCGTTGTTGATGTAAACTTGTCAAGCGCTCTTGTCCCGCCTTTTCTAAGGCCAGCCCTTTTTAGGGTTTAGTTGCGTTGTTGATGTCATGCGCCATTCTTTTTAGGGTTTTGTCTGCGTTGTTGATGTCAACTTGTCAAGCGCTCTTGTCCAGCCTATTCTAAGGCCAGCCCTTTCTGGGGTCTCGTTGCGTTATTGACGTTATACGTCATTCTTGGGCATTCTTCGTGTTGTTGCCGCATCTATAAGACGGCTCCAATGCTTTCTTCTAGCCATCTCTTATCTAGAGCATTTTTTTGTGCTACCACCACATACGCTTCTACGCCGTCGTCCGTCCACAGTTTATCGTTTTAGTCTATTTTTATCCTTGAGTAGCTTATCTTTGTCGTGTAATTGGATTTATATAATATGCTTTGTGGAAAGTAAATTCTAGCTATCAAAAGGTATATGCCCTACCAATCACCACCACCACCACCTTCGACGTCTATGCAGCTGGACATCCCTGCAGACGGTTCTTGCAGCCGGTCATCCCTGCCGTTGGATAGGTTTCATTGTCAAGATACTTTATGCGGAATATGAGAGAACTTCTTTGTATTTCAAGCTGACTTTCAGAGTCTGAAAGTTCAGCTTAAGGGGGAGTGTAGGAAGTAAAGGGTATTGTAGGCTTTTAGTGTGTGGTTTAGTCCCACATAGCTTAGATATAAGTTCTATGTGGTCTCACTCTCTATATAGAGAGAGATAGCTTCTTTGTATCTTTAACTTTATATTATCAATATTATCATTCATCTTTTATATTTCTAGTTAAACCATAGTTGAAAATGCCGAAAAATGCCGTATATTCGGTTTCCGAAAAACGGGAATATTCCGCGGCATATATCAGCCAAGGGTCGAAATTGAGAGGTGGTAATATCGGCAAATACCAACTGAGCTATGAATGCTTATTGCAATATATCATGGAATTTTACTATACCTATTGTTTGATTCAAATAAACAAACTATATATCATAGTTGATTTTATCAATTATGCTATATAGTTTATACTACTAAAATGAGAGGTTGTACATCCTTTTAAATATAACACTAAAATTCATTTAAATTATTAGTAAAAAACTCTAAAAATTCCATTAAATGTTTTTCAACTATGTTTTATAGTTTATATTTTATAAAATGCCCCATAATGGACACATCAATCGAGGTGTGAAAAATAGTATCGCCGTCGCAATAAATCATGAAATTCATCAGAGAATGCTTTGTTGACCCAGTCCAACCATCGCACATAATGGTGACGCCATACATAGCCCACTTTTGCCTCAAATCGTCGATGAATTTGTCACTCTTCATTAATGGCATCTAGCTCAAGAACCATAAGCTTATATCTCAATGGAATCTTTAGTCCTATATCAGTCCTGCAAGCGGCATCAATCATCGGTTGGGTGTACGGGTTGTTATCCACTATCTGGTTTGAATTTATCTGTCCGTAATGGACCATTTTTGCAAACAAGTATCTAAACGTAGCCCCCCATCCTTTACTCCTCTGTTTATCAAAGCGCAGTTCTTTATTTTGGGTTGCCAAGTGTGGGGAAACTTTCCCCAAACAGTGTCAATATTAATGGTGCTTGAATCACGACCACCCCTCATGTTTCCCGAACGGAATACCCGAGTTATCTTACCTTGTTTGAATCCTTTGGACCTTTGAGTTCTAGTTCCAGACCCTGAACCAACCTCCCGTTAGGAACCCTCAAGAGTAGATCGACTTTGGGAGAACCTCTAACGTTGGTCGTCTTCTTATTGCTCAACAACCGAGTTACTCATCACTCGTCGCATATTACGGTGTTCTTGTTCTTCGTCGTCACATTCTTCTTCCGAATCTGGGACGTGTAAGAAAAGTTCGTGAAATTCTCTCTCTGCAAATGCTTTTGCGTTCTTCCTGTTTTGCGCATTATCAGCCAAACCCCTAAACATGTCCCTAACTTCTTTGCCTTGTTTTGTAAACATCTCAACATCTCATCACAACCAGCTAAGTGTTTTTTAAACCTTGTGATCCCACCCCATGTAGGTTTTTTCACAGTATTTACATAGGACCGCATTGTGATTTCCTGGGCTACTTCCCCGTGGTCCCAAGCAATATCTTTCTTACGTGGCATTCTTCTACTGCAGATTTGTACCAGTGTCATTATCTCTTGATATATTATTTTAATATTATTTAGTGA